GTCCATGACAACTGGGGACAAAGCCAGGACTGGAATCTCACGTCCTCACTTCCAGTCAGGGCCCTTTGCCTGCACAGTGTGGTGGTAGGATACGGTCTGATTTTGTCATGAAGACAGGCCAAAGAGGAAAGGGGGGAGGGCCCAAGTAATTGATAAGGACTGAGAGGTTAAAAGGACAGGGAGAGGGAGAGAGGAACAGAGGAGGGAACCGATGGATGGAGAAAGGAATGAATAATGCCTACGGGGAAGGAGCAGAAGGCTAGAGAGAGTTGTCAGGCCTTAGAAAGGAGACTGACAGGCTCACAAGAGAGGAAAAGGGCCTCCCAGAGCCTTCCCTCCTCCCTGGGCATCCTTCTCTGGGCTCTCTCACATGAACATCTGATGATGCAGAGATCATCTATCTGTTCATGACAGAGGTGTCCTCACTGTACCACGGAAGCCCAAAGGAAGGACTCCAATGGTAGAGCTAAGGATTGGGAAGGTCAAGGGAGGCTCCCTGGGAGAGGTGGTACTGAGCTGAACTTTCAATAGTAAGTAAGAGATGGGATGGGGCAAGAGGCACTCCTGTATGGGGGACAGCAGGAGCAAAAACATGGAAGAAGCAAGAAACTACCCGAATCTGTGGGGAAACCCCGACAGCTGGGAGTGTTGGCACATCAAGTCCCAGCAAGAGGCAGGGCTGGAGAGGGGGCTGCATGGAGACGCAGACCAACTGCTTCCAGGCTTAAAGGGAAAAAAAGTATGGGAAATGGAAATGTCTTTGTGGAGGAGGCAGCCCACTTGCAAGACAGCAGGACTGCAGCTGGTAGGCTGGGCTGAGAACATCATTCCAGGCAGGGGGAAAAGCATGGGGTGGGAGAGTGAGAGATAAATACTCAGGGAAGCATTTGGTTTGGTAGGAGGGAAGGAGTGTTCATTGTGCAGTGACTGCTGAGACACCAGCAAAGCCCATGCACAGAATGTCACCCTGCTGAGGAATGGCTGGAGTTGTCTCAAAAATGAATCACTTCTGAGTCTCAGTTTTCACATCTTTGAAATGGAGGTGATAGGAGACTACCTAAGACATTTGCTCAGAGGTTTGAAAATGAGAATGTGTGGGGAAGTGCTTTGCAAAACCCTAAGGCATTCTACCATGTTCCCCAGTCCCTGAACTGACATCAGAATCACCACGGGGGCTTTTAAAAAACACAATATACTGCAGGTCAACCCAGATCTACAGAATCAGAAGGGGGCTTGGGCAGGCATTCTTTTTCTTCCAGCTCTTCTTTTCTATTATTTCTTCCCATGGTCCTGGTGCTCTATTAACGTTAGATCTGCCAGCTTCTGACAGGTGAGAAGAAGAAAACGCAGCAAGAAAAATAGTTAGAGATCCTGGGGGTTCCTGGAAATACGTTGGATTTGGAGGGTTTTCTGGTCAGGGCTTGACAGCTATATAAGGGAAAGAAAAAGAAAGACCTCTTAGTTTTTTCCAAACAGTGGAAATGAGCAAGGTAGCCAAAGGGACTGATAATACCTTTGACCTTCACTCTGGAGAGTACTGAGAGAAAAGAGGCCCTCCACTGTCACCCTCAGTTGCAGGTGGTCAAGAAATCAATTAAATCACACAACATCCTACAGCTTACACCATATTTGTATCTGTATTAATTCATTTGATCCTCATATCCCTGTGAGATGAAGCTTCTTACTTATTTTCATTTTACAGGTAAGGAAACTGATGCTCAGGAAAGGAAGTAACTAGCCAGTAAGTAGCCAGAGATAGAGCAATGATTTGCACCTGGGACTCTCAGTTTCCAAGGCCTCCCTACCACATTCTGCTTCTTATGTTGATTGGAAGGTAGAAAGAGCATTGGAACTCTGTTGTTCGGGCTCTGCCAGAACATGCTGTGCAATCCCAGACAGATCTCTTGCCTTCTCTGGGCTACACCACTATCAATCCAACGTGATTGTCCTCAACACCGTCCTTGGTATGCGATAACCACCATGATGACCACAAGAGGGTGAAGAGAATGGGGAATGTGACAGTGCATATGTACAAAGGGTGTGGCAATATAACAGAAGGAGAGACCAACTTTGCCAGGTGGAGGGCTTCCTGGGAGAGGAGAATTTGGTCAGAGACTTGAAGAATGCAGAGGCACTTCCCTCCCTTCCCTTCCTCCCCCTAGTGCCATGTGACTAGAGGCCTAGAGCTTGGGATGTGCAAGAGGGGGTGGCTAGAAATGAGGCCTAAGAGGTGGAGGTTGTGGGGGCTAAAAAAAATAATACCTTTCCTCACACCTTCTAAGCTCTTCTAGCTGGGCTTATAATCAAATCAGCAGGAACGGGTTGGGTATATATGACACTTTGGACAAAGGAGAAAGGGGAGGAACATAGTCTTAGATTTCAGAGGTGAAAATGGGTGATTTACAGGCAGTTGAAAAAGAGCGGGGCCCGGCTGGGCGTGGCACAGCAGTTGAGCGTCGACCTAGGATCCAGGTGATCAGGGTTCGATTTCGGATCAGGGCACATGCCCAGGTTGCAGCTCCATCCCCAGTCGGGGGCGTGCAGGAGGCAGCTGATCAATGACTCTCTCATCATTGATGTTTCTATCTCTCTCTCTGTCTCCCTCTCCTTTGCTCTCTCTGAAATCAATAAAGATATATTTTTTTTAAATTTAAGAAAAAGAGCTGAACACACAGGCAGGCAAATTCTTACTAGGCAACTCAGAAAAAAATGGGACACGGTATGTAGCTAACAGGCCCCTATTTACCATATTTAAAGCCACCCTATTTACCATATTTAATTCCAATTAGGCTAAGGCAGCATTCTCTGGTTCCCTTTCCTGAAGGTTTTTCTATCTAAATCTCTTGTGCAGGTAAGGGCGGGGTAGTGTTAAAGGTTCTTTCTGAGTCTTGTTTCTTAATAACCAAGTTAAAATCAATATCCCAAAAGGCAAAACTTTTGGTCCCCTTCAAGGTGAAAGAGGCATATCACATGGGCCTTGAATGCCAAGCCAAGGAGTTTGAATTTTGCCACTGAAAGATTTTAAGCAGGTGTCCGTGGTCCATTTTGCAGGTTTGCTGTTTAGAAAGGCCTTTTTTTTTTTTTTTTGGCTACAGTGTGACAGCAGACAGGAGGGGGAGCCTAGAGGCAGAGAGCATAGTGCAGGGGGCAGATAGAGCTGATGGAGATTCCCCACCGGAAGCCCTCTGGAGGCCACTTCCCAGTTAGAGAAAATCAGGAATTTGATGAAAGCAGAAGTGCTCAGAAACTGCCCCGGCCACCAGCCCAGGTGTGAAGAGTTGTTTGTCACACTTATGGTAACTAAGAGGCCCTTTGGAGGGGCCACCTCCAGCTCAGGTGGCTCAACCTTGCACACTAAGGGCAGTGGGAGGCATGTGTAGCCCTCCCCATCCCCAACCGGAGTTCCCTGGGAGTGGAGTATTCATCTCCTTTTCTGGGATGCTGAAGTGAGCTCACTCCACAGCACCACATCAAAGGAGAGGTTGAAAATCTCTAGGCCAGGGCCAAGAGGGGGTTCCTTTGAAAGAAAGTCCCTTCCCCAGGGGAGTGGAGGAGCTGACCACAGGTGGGCTAGAGGGACCAGAGGGGCCAGAGGGGCCGATGACCTTTTCCCTATCTCCTCCCCTCTCAAGGGATTTCCAGACTCTACCCCATCCCTGACAGGAGATATCTTGGGAAAATAGTAAGGGCTTAACACACAATGGCCCTTCCTGTGAGCCAGACTAATGCTTTACTTAGTTGCTTTGTTTACTCCTCAAAACAGCCTCTCAGAGACCTTAGATAACTTCCCTAAGGTTTCTAAGAGCTGGTAAGTGTCAGGGCTGGAGCCTGACCCCTGTCCAAGCTTAGGGTCCTCTCCAAATGCTGGCTTTGGGGTCCCTGGCGTAAGAAGGGCTCTGACTCCTCTCTAGGGCTTTGGGATGCACGAACACTAAGGGGCTGCGGAGTTGACTCTCAGCAGCCCGTTTATTCAACTGGATTGTGAGGAGGTGACTAGAGGCAAAGGAGTCTCTGGTACAATTTCAAAGACTGATGAGAAGTCTGAGAGGGGTGGCCCCCACTGGCCTCACAGTTCCGGAAGTGGGGGTTCTAACTGGGGGAGGATGACAGGAAGAGAGGGGAGAGGGGAGCTCTCCCTGCCCCACACTGATGAGGCCAGGTTCCCAGCCTTCCCCCTGCATATCCTTACTGGCAGGGTCCACAGGGCCCACAGGTCTCAGCCCAGGTGAGTGGAGTCCCCGCCCCTCCACCACACAGAGCCTTGGAGTGCAGGGGGAGGACTTTGTTTTCTGGGCAGCAGATTTGATTTTGCTGCCCTGAGGCCTGGGGTAGTGGCCTCTACTTCCCCCTATCCTAACTCCCTACTTGCCTCCCTCCTTCCCCAGGCAGACATAAACACACAAGCCCAAGCAACATTTTTTACAAATATTTTTATTGATTTTTTAGAGAAAGAAGAAGGGGAGAGGGAGAGAGAGAGAGAGAAAGAGAAACAGCAATGCAAGAGTGAAACATGGATTGGCTGCCTCCTGTTTGCCCTACAGGGGACATTGAGCCTACAACCTGGGCCAGTGCCCTGACCAGGAATTGAACCGGTAACCCTTCAATGCAGGAGACGATGCCCAACTAACTGAGCCACACCTAAGCAAAATTTTAATTTTCAAATAAGTAATAAGGAAGAAAGAGCAAAAAGACTGGGTGTTCAAGCCTGGGCCACTGCATTGCCCAATCTCTCCACAGCAGGAAAGCTCCTGGGAGGTCCAGGGTTCAAGACTAAAGCCTCTCTCAGCAATGCCCCGCCCCCCATGCCTCTAGGTTGCCTAAGAATTGCCCCTCCCTCCTCCAATCTGTAGAATGGGAGGCGCAGACCACCTCCACCCACCTGCCCTTGTAGGGAATGCATCCACCAGGCAATTTTTAAAAGTATTTTGGATGCTTTTCTGCCCTTTTTACCATAAAGTGGGGTGAGAGAAGGCGGGCTGCTGAGGAAAGAATAGACTTACCGCTGCCTAGTCACACATGCAGTTCCCCTTCTTAGAATCCCAACCAGAAGTTCCATGGTTCCCTCCAGGAAAAAAAAAAAAAAAAAAAAAAAAAAAAAAAAAAAAA